GAGATACGGAGGTGAAAGGCCACTGGGACACAATAACTTAAGTCATTGCCTTGTCTCTATCATGAATGCCCACGTGTAGCTTTTGTAAATAAAGCGATAAATTCTTATAAGTATTTAATATTGCTCAGTGCCCGTGACTTCGTTCATTGGACTTTGGTTTGTCACAATTATTTGTATTAAGAAAGAACCTTTGAAGTAATACAGTCTGTCATTGGTAAAGTAATTTTCGTAGTAGCTCTAGTTCTAGAAAACTATAAAGTTGGTTTTACCTTTTAACATTACCTAGTATTCAATTAATTTGCCTTACTCAAAAGTTTCTGGAACTATTAGCTAAGTCTTAACTTTTGATAGTTACAGACACAAAAGAAACTGATTTAGCAGTCGTGACGTCAGCCGTCTATTCAAATCCACTGTCCTCATAAAGTAATAAGCGAACAAAAGCATTAGGCTATTTTATGTCAGCGGCATTATTTTTCCAAGAATAGCAGCGTTCCTGGAAAACCGATGGCAATCACAGAGCTCTTTGTGGTCGCAATCAAAACTATATTACCTTGAAACCCTCTGATTAAAGAATGCGGTGAACGTATGTGCCATCCCCCGGGCACGGCGAACTCATGTTCGATCTAGGCATTACATTTTATACGCCTTGGGCGTATTTGTGGCCAGCTGCAATTACCACGCTATAAAATACAAAGGATGAAAAATAAACCTTATCTGCTTAAGGATAGGTTAGCGACTCAATTGTTCATTTGTTATTGTTTTTAGAGTAAAATTTATGTATTTTATTTACTGAGAGCGGCACATTTAAACAGTTTGCATCGATCTAGGCACAATATTTATTTATAAGGTATTCTGCCACTGCATTAGTTAGAGTTAATGAATATTGAGAAAGGGCGGCTCTTTTGACTATGCCTAGGTTTAACATTATACATGTGCTACAATAAGGTACTCGTTAAAATAAATAAGCAAGTGCCTACACATTGCTATAAAGAAATGAAACTTTTATTGGACAGCAGAGCCACAGGACACATAAATATTGTAATAAAGCCAATTAATAATAAGGTTGCGAACCTGCGATCCTTAATCCATACCTGCTGCTGGTAATCTGACAGCTAGTTGACAGACAGCTGTTTTTTGTACTGAAGTTTAATTGGCCTGTCAATTCCTTCGCCTGTCAAGGCCTCCGTTTAAGCTGCCAATTTAGGACCTATTGGTAGGCTTATAAAATTAGCATCACATAGTTTAACAGTGAGCTGTCAAATTGTATTTTTATGGCGTAGAATTAGCATCCTCACACTGTCAAGGAAGCACTAAAAAGTATGAATTTTGCAAGGATATGTCACTTACGTCTGCCATAAACTGTGGGTAATGTGCCTTGAATTAATGATGGGAATAGCATCGTCATAGTAAAGGGAAACAGTATAACATCTCTGTATTAGCGCCTCAATTTTGCATACATAGAACCTAATTTAATACGTAATCAGTTCATTCTGATAGTGAAGCGAAATGCCATGGTGATTCTTATAGAACCGTTTTTCTTTTTTTTAATTAAACATTATCATAGCAACTCCTGAATATCCATTATATTAGTTTGACCGCCTGAAAACTAAGTAGAGAATAATGTTTAACTAACTAGTAAAGAATTCAACTTGAAGAAAATGTAGAGTTCACAGTAGGATATCGATTTTTCTCCACTGAAAAGCGGGAGACTGATGACTAAAAAGTTAGTTACCTTCACCCATCTCTACTCTCACGTACCATTTTTCAGCGAAATAAATATTTGTATGGCGAGATTGTACCACAATAGGTTTCATTTATTTTTCTGAAGTGTTTATGTTCCCACGTGTGCTTTTGTGCAAAATCGGGGCGCTAGTAAAATATATTATTATGTATTTTATTGTTCCCTTATATTATGGCTTCGAATGCAACGCAAACCCGCCGCTGCACAGTATTTGTTTGTTGCCGTTCCACTGCCCGTAACACAAACAGATCTGTGATAATATAATTTTGATCCACATTTCAGTTTTCATATTTCTGTCTGCTGCGTTTTATGCTGAAAAAATGTTTGGTTGAAAGACAGTTTTGTAGGCTCATAAGTCACTGACTGGTTCAATATAAATCGTTGTTAAAAGACTACTTTTTCGTTGTCTAATTGGGGTATGACAGATTGGGTTTTTAATGGCGGTCAAGCTGTAGATCCTGGCTACACAGGAGTTGCAGCGGTGCGAGAGGTGGGAATACTCCCGTAATTGGGGTAAAGTTCTTTCAGGTAGAGATGCAAAAGTTACTACGTGGTGTTTAAAGTTTTTTATGGACAAAATTGACAGTAAGAACACAACCTGTAATGACGATAAGACTTTATTGTATAGGTTTTTGCAAAATGTGACACAAACTCATAGAATTATAGCGTCGGATTGAAATGAATCATTGACATTAAAAACGCTTTGATCCAACAAAATAATATGTTTCGGCTCAACATTGTCAAGAAAATAGACATTACTAAATTTCCTTTGAAGGATTTTTTATCAATATAAAATATTTGTAGCTCTGATCCCTGGATGAGTTCCGAGTAACGGCCACGTTCCCTTTTGATCGCCGCCCTTTGACGCTAAGTCGTGATGGCATACTTACATTGTATTCAGGCGTTTCTAAAGATTCAGCGGTGCTACTCTCAACAACATAAACCAAAGTATTTAATATTTCCATCCCTCTCACGATAAACGAGATTTCAGCATGAGCGACAGTGGAAGATAGACCTGAAACTACGTGAACGGTAGAAACCCTGAGATTTGAACGGACGCACAAAAGGAACTGTGACGGGCTTAATATTTCTCCCGGTCTAAGTATAAAAATATCTCGCTGACATTTTGTAATTTTATTCCTGTTATGTAAATGTCTTTATTCTGAACTTTAATTTTAGTGTTCATTTAATCTTGTACAGACGACAGCAAATCTCAATGTGCATTTTTGATTAAATATAGCACCTCAAGCCGTCCAGGATGTAATGTGTAATGTAATATTATGTGTAATGTAACACGAATTCTACGTGTGGACGGCATGGCACTACGAGCATTACATGTGTGAAGTGCTGCACATACTATTTATATTACGAGTACATTACACGGTGAATTACATTACGCGTTACACCCGTCTCGACCCGGTTTTACAGTAACTTATGATAGCGCAGAATTTTCATGCGCTGTCTGTCATCCGTACATCATGGAAAAACGTATTAATTTGTAAGATTTTTTTAGTTCGTACCGTGTTTTACATACCGTTATAATAGTGCCGGTGTATTAGAACGACTTTCTTATTACATCGACTGACGGGAGTTTAATCGGTCCACCATAAATCATTGCTATCATTATAGATGTAATGAAGAAATCGCTATCTGCAACATGATATTAGTATCAAACAGGTAGTTAGCGGCGCTAATCGATGTTCACAGGGACCGGTTGAACATATTTATATTCAAATCAGACACAGGCACGTCAGGCTCTATATTTTTGTTGTAAATCAGTCCATATTGCAACGACTTAAGATGCTATAGTGTGTAACTTATTGTGCAGTGGTCCGTACATTTTAGCTGGGATGTTCGATTTGGAATTCTCGACACGTTAAGCGTGCCAGTGCGTAGGAGGCGCGTCATATGCCGCGTATGGGTTTGTTTTGTAAGGATGTGTTGGCTGTCAACTATCATGTCATCTAGAAGGGCAACGTGAAAAATGTAGTACCTATAGGTACTGTTAGTTTACAATTAAGTACTTAATTAATTACCTACTCAAAGTTTTTAATAATTATCTAGCTAGGTAAAATATCCAAAAATACCCAAGTATTAAATTGACGATGACAAGTTTACAACCCAGCGCATTTAATTTACAGCTAAGTACTTCTCTATAAATAAAAAAGATCATAAAATCAAGGAAACGCAAGAAAAACGAACCAATTTAAATGAATTTATCGTCGTCAGGTTAATGAAAATTATTTATTATTTTAAAAGAGAGCCTTTGCAATAGGGCAACACAAAAAAGGATTTTACTTTTATAACAAAACTTTTAAAAATAAAATTACTCTAACCTACTTCCTGAAATATTAGGCGAAAGTTAGCTCGCACGCATACTGGCGACCGCACGTAAAAAATAAAAAAATATGTGTCGAAAATAGAACGTTTTCAAACTGGAAACCGACGCGTGCCGAACTTGTAAATAATTCGATAATAACTCGCTACTGTTACAGTTATTTACAAATAAAAAGCTGTCATACAATGTAACGCCAATCTTTTGTTTACGAAATGTACCGACGTCATCAAAATAAGTGAAGTCGCATCTTATATAGGTCTTATTTTGCAACAAGATGGTCTGATGAGCCATTGTACAATGAGGAATTCTTAACATTTCTCCTGATTGAGCTTAAATACAAATTCAACCCTACAAAATATTAACAAAGCGTAGGTATATTATTCACAAGTCAAAGGTAGCATAGATTGGCAATTTAATTACAATATTCTTGGAAAGGTTTATTGCGTATTTGGCTAGATTTTCATCTGCGGTAGACACTATTCAGGAAATTTCTAATTACCTATATGAGTTAATAGACGCTCTAAATTAAGGAACAAGAGTGAGGCAGGGGTTACCAGTTTTTGAGATAATATGTATTGTTTTCTTGCAAAAATTAATTCAATTTAGGGCTGATTTTTCAATGAAGAATAAGTTTGGCATATTGACAGTTTCAGTATGGGAAATATGTCTAAATGACAAGTTTAGTCTTCAGATAAAAGATATCTGACGACTGAAAAATCAGCCCTTAAACATTTAAATGTAGTTGCAAGGTACCGAACATACGGCATATACATACATATTTAGCCTGCAATGTAGACTAAATAGAAACTTGATATAAATAACTCAAAACAATGGATAGAGTTAAATAGTGAATCTATAGGTTATTACAATTAAGTTGTACATTGTACAGGATAGTAATTAAATTCATATTTTTATTTTCAGAATCATCATCATGGTGCCTGCGTATTTATTGCTCTTAGCTGCATTCTCGCCAGTTTTAGCAGGTCAGTATTTATTTTAATGAATTTAATATTAATTATTACTCGTAAAAACAGACAAAAGTTTTTAAAATTACGTTAATAAGGCTATGGTCTTGATTAAGAAACTTCACAATTATGTTTGTAATCGATTAAAATTATCACACTTCTTGGTATTGTTTTTCCATGCTATATTTTAGTTTGTTTACTTATTGTCATAAATGCAGATAAGCAAGCAGTAAAAATAAGTGATATGAACACAATAACATTATTCAAGTATTGTGTCTGCATTACTGCATTCAAGTTTCACTGCCTCAATTATAAATAATTATTGCGACGGAGCTTTATCTGCGACTCTACCATACCCAAAATATGGTCCACTTTTACACGCACTTACAAAAGGACAACAAAGATAAAATATACCTTCATATACCTACTTAAATTGGTCAAGACATAATGGCAAAAAGAGCACAACCATTTATAATAGAGCCATTCTTCGAAGGAGGCGAGCGAACGTTTTGTGCTTGTTGTATTCTTTGCCTGTTCGAAGGATTTCGACGCCGATCCGACGGCGGCAAGGCAAGGCTTAGCCGAGTTCAGACGTTTATTAAATCTAGATAATTTGACTGAATTAAGAAAAAGTTCTGATCCAGTCAAAATTTTTCTTTTTTTGTGGGCTAAGTTAAAAAGTATTGGTGACAGATTTTATGGGCGACTTTTTACGAACCAATCGTCAATGTACTTTCCAAAGTACGGTATTCCAAGGTGTATTTACAAGAAATGAATTTAAGATTGCAATTTCCTTACTAAATTGGATGTGGTACAAATTAATTTAATTACAATTAAAATCACCAGATCCGGGAATCGAAGTCAAGAACTCTATAGGTCGACATAAATTATAAACTCTCTAACCACTACACCATATAAATCCAATTAGGACGAATATTGACAATCAAATAACAAGCCTAATTTGTTGCTGACTTTACCGAATTTTTTCCTAAAATTTATCAGTATTTCTTCGGAAGTAACCGAAAAACGGGACTTTCCCACCTCACGTTCCCACAATCCCACCTACGCTTGACCGCTAATAGCACCCAACCAGTGGAGGGTAAATTAGTACCGGGGGAAGTTGAACTGTCATTGGCGCCGCAAATTAATTAGAAGAAAATAGATAAAACTATACTAAAGAAGATCAAAACATGCTCCTTCAAAACTACAGGTTAGCCACTGTATGGTAACCATTATTTATTCTTGTTAATGGTATGTACACTGCGAGTGTAAATAAGAAGGTGTCGGTATAAACACAATTACTTAAACTATGTACTACTGGCAAACATCATCATTCAGTTTGCTTTGATTTATGATGACCATGCCGGGGTCAAAGTTCGAGTATATAGGCCCTATAGGGTGTAAGAAGACCATAATTTTTTATCAGGCGAAGAAACTATAATATATTTCTCTGATAATAATCGCCAATCAAGGGACTGTGCTGCCCTTGCTATGAACTAATATTTTAACTTATTCTTTTTAGAGAGTGAGTACTTTTCACTCAATGAAAATTACTTTTGGAAGAAAAAACTAATAAGTTCGAAACAGAGACGAATTTCTTAAATTAAGTACCCTGTAACATGTAATTTTAAGGTCGTAGAAGACCGTTGTACTCTTGAGTGTGATTAATTCAAATTACACAAGAAAAACCATTTAAAACATTGTGGTATTTAAAATATTAATGCAAATCTGTCAAGAAAAAAGCTTTCAAGTGTGATAAATTAAATAACCACTGCAAATCTGTGAGGGATCTAAAATGGTTTTTGTTTTATTAAACTTGGTTTCCAAATTTAACGAATTAATTGCTCTGAAGTGTTCTTTTAGCGTTAAAAAGATTCTGTTATTATAATAAAAAAGTTAATTAGTTTCTTGGGTAGAGTGCGTCAATTTGTCTGACCAATGTTATAATTTGATTTAAGATGGGCAGAGAAAGTCATTATTTGTTACTTTTTGGTCATTTTATAAACATCTGCTGTCATTCCGATGGCGTAATTTAATCTAAAGCGAGTAATCTGTACAAGGGAACGTGTAAAACCAGATTTGTTTACTCATTAAAAATAATCGTCAACGCAATTATCCACTTTTTCACTCTGACAAATTGATGGGACCGGCCCTTTCGCTGGGCCTATTCGGACTACAGATAAATGTGACTTTCGAATTTTTTCGAATTTGTGTTCTATTGCCGCGTGGGCAGTGGTTCCTTTGGATTTGGTCCGAACCCGACGAGTTATGAATAAGGTGTTAAGCGTTAAATGCGTGTTTTTTCTTTATTTTGGAACTGTAACAGCCGTGACGGGTAGCTCCCGGATACGGCAGGTAGTCACCCACACAAGCGCGGGGCGTGTTGGTAAACAAAAAATAACTTGGCGCAGTTCCTTGAACTGACACTTTCAACAGTGTCCGATGATTTCGTGCAACATGATGGCATTTACAATAGTAGCATACTTGTCGTTTATTTAACTTATTTAATATTTATTGCATTTAACTGACAAAGGTGGACTCTACATAATATACCTCTTAGGCTGGGTTGCACCATCTTATTTTAACTCTATACTAAAAACATCGGTTATCGTTAAAGTTACGGTCAAAGTTAGGTGGTGCAACTCAGCCGTAAGTAAAAATACATAATCGCCGTACCTTAATTCAAAGTTAAGTTATAAGTAGGTATAGCGACCAAATACCTGCGCAAATTATGGAGATATTTTGTGCTGAAACCACTAGAGCGACAGTTTTAGTCAACATAATAATTATTAATAATATTGATTTCAAATAAACCTATTATAATTTTCAGAATAAGCCATTTTATAGATAAGTATTGCTTCTCTGAACAAATAAAACGTTTTATCAAACAAAAAGCGATCTATTTGATCGACTACAATCAAAATGCGTAGACTTAATTAGAACAAACAATTTGCGCTAATTGAATCGCTTAAAGGGCTCAAATTGAAGTTAATCTAAAACGAAATAAAGCTATAATTGCATACTTAGTCTGTGTAAGTTAATGTAAATATCCAATATCTTCTTATAGTTCGAGTAATAATGCATTCTCATTGATTTGATGACGTGACGTTGATGTTCAAATAAACCAAGTATAGGACTTCACAAGAAAGGTTTATTTTCTACTAAGAGCTGATTTTTCAATCGTCAGATATCTTTTATCTGAAGAATAAACTTGTCATTTTGACATATTTCCTATACTGAAACTGTCAAAGTGCCAAACTTATTCTTCGATCAAAAGTTATCCGACGATTGAAAAATCAGCCCTAAATCTTCTGATAAATATTCAAACAAGTTTTGGACAGCTGTGCCAATAAGCCCTACAATTAGCTTTGCATTGTAAGTATAGTCTGCGTCAAATAGTTTGTGACACTTAGGGTGGGTTGCACCATCTTACTTTAACTTTGACAAACGTCAAAAATCTGTCAAACTCCATAAAAAACACCGGTTATCATTATAGTTAGGTATCGTCAAAGTTAGGTGATGCAATTCAGCCTTAATGTAGTCAATAATTTTGCAACACGTGTTTGTTACACAGGCAGGAATAAGGTTGTGTTATCAACTTTTTGGCCATTTTGGCTGACTGTACTAGTACCTATACTTCCCTACTATTATTGTCTAGCGTTAATCGTAAATCTAGTTATAAGTGTTCCACCTTGATGGTAGAGATATTTTGGGTTAATAAAAGGTGTAGAGACTCATCTCGCCCCATTGCAGTCCTAAAATATGCCCACTGCCCATATTTAAAAAAATAGTTGGTATTGCAACTGGAGTTAAAACAAATTTCATAACATGAAAACTAGCATATTTTATATGCTACTTATAATTCTACGGTGTTCCACCTTGATAGTAGAGATATTTTGGGTTAAAAAAAGTGTGTAGAGACTGTAGCTCCATTAAAGTCCTAAAAAATGCTCCAGATTGAAATAAACACTCGGTATTGTAACTGGAGTTAATGCAAATTTCACACATTTAACGTGCTCGTAAAATACGCTTAACGATTTAAGATGCTCGGCTCGCACGGGCTTTATCTGTGGGGAGGGCCTTGTTGTGCCCCGACCGGCGGCAATTAAAATTTGAGAAAGCGTTCCTATTGTACACAATCCGAATATATGGGACGGCGTTTTATTGGGATTCTACGTCTCGTTCTGACGATACACATCGTTTGAGAGGCAGCGGCTGTGTTGGTAGGTACATGTTTCGTAACTGGAAATTTTCTACAAAGGTTGTATAAAACTTTAACAGGGAGAGAGTGCTCTTATTATAAGTAACTTTTCATGTATGTAACTCATGTCATTAAACTAGCCCAATGTTACAGACGTACTATTTTACATTCTATGACATTTTAGTTTAAACAGCACAGCCTGATGAAACTCCAACCTACAATTTTCCGGCGCCAACTTACTCTAAAAATTTGGTTATTTTAAACTACTTATTTGCTGTAAAGTACCAATGAATAGCTCAAAATAAAATAATGTAGAGATAAAATATTTAAACAGAATTATCAAATAGTGTTTTATTTGTAAATGAATAGCTGCGTACACATTACTTGGAAAAAGCTTTGTGTTCTGCACGCTTTATGCGGTTGATGAGAAAAGACAGCTGATTATACGCTTGTCGCATCCATGTAAATTCAAATAAATTGCAGCAACTTGTCTGATAATAGTGTTTAATGGTAACTTAGGCTGAGTTGCACCACCTAACTTTGACCGTAACTATAACGATAACCGGTGCTTTTTGTATGGAGTTAGACAGACTTTTGACGTTTGTCAAAGTTAAAGTAAGATGGTGCAACCCAGCCTTAAATAATCTCGTACGCAGAAATATAATATTAAATGCCAAGGTCGATGAGTGCTTTGGGTTGGTGCTTGGCTCTTTTATGAAACGAAACTCAAGTCAAGAATGTACTCGTGAGTCTAGATTCGTAATTTACGAATGGAGTCGAGTTTCAATATTGAGTAGCTGAAATTGCCTCAGAGGTCTCCTTCACAGAGTCATCTCTTAATAAAATTGTATCTCTATATTAATAGAGACACAATTTTCGTAAACCTTGACTAAGAATCAAAAACATCACTAGAGTTAGTGCATTTTTGAAAAAAAGAGTCAAGAAACTTACCATGTTTAATTAATTAAATCAGGCCAAGTAATGTTTAAATTAATAGTACCATAAAAGGCAAGATAATTTAATTAAAGAAACAAACATGTTTATACATTTGCGATTAGCCTTTGTTTGCGCCTATAAAAATGTATGTAAATGTAAAAGAAAAAATATTTTATATTGCTAGTAATTTTGCGGTAATCCAAAATCGAGAAGATTGTGGTTTGTTTCTGTTGAGAAACCCGCAGTCTTCGGCAGGCTCACAGAGGAATGCAATCTTTTATCTCACTGATATAGCCGTTGCACAGCACAGTAACACTTTGTTCGGTTTATTTTTATCGTAATTGGTCACATTCCGACTGACTCAGGATCATCTCTGGCCCACGGTCGTTGACTGCGCACTAAAATGAATGATGTTGCCGCGGCGCCGGCAAAAGGTAACCCTATGTTTAATTAATTAAGGCCGTATCTTGTTTGCGGTACGGTGTACAGCCTCAAATCTGACCGGGTATGTGTATCGTGACCATATTTTTTGTGGAAACAGGATCTAAGAATTAATAAGACTTTTTTTGTTAAAATTGAATGGAAGGAATCACTAAGTAAGAATTGCAGACTGCCTATTTTAAGTCTCACGTTACACGGTTGTTGCTGAGACAATAGAGGAAGCATTTAAAAATATAAAAACATGTAAATCCTTAAGACTACACAGATGATTGACTTTATCTTATCAGTCAACGCCTCATGCTTATGTTCCCAAATAAAAATTTGGCTGTTATCACGTTCACTCGTGATCTAAAACTGTATTTTCTTCCTGAAAGTGATAAATATGTTAGAAATGATTTCTCTCTTACATCCAAAGGAAAATATCCTGTATAAAACGCGAAGTATGGTCACTTTATATGTGTCACTGAATGTGTGGGTAACAAGGTATCAAGGACACCGGGATGTTTTTTGTTTTGTCCGCCTTGATATGCTAATGAAAAGGCTTAAATCCGAGCCCGTTCAGCCGTGGAGGAATTTGAGAACGAATTAGCGATTTAACTCCACATTATGTTTCGTTGGGTTTGTTTATTTTACGTCTAGTATCATTTTGTTTTGAGAGGTATTAATTTACAATCCTACTTAGTTAGGTATCGTTTTCATGCTCGCAAAAACAGTGTTTTATAATTTTATTGCTTTTGTTTAGATTTCATCATATTAAATTACATAAGCTTGCTTTGAGGGCCTTCACAACAAACACAATATCTAGAAGTTGGTCGAATTCCTTGGGAACTAAATGTTTCTGAATAAAGTGCTTATGAGAGAGCATAATGTTTAAGTAATGGTTAAAACTAACATCCTTATTCACAATCGATGCTTGCTTAAGTGAAGCAACAAATCGAACGCATAGCGTTAAACAGAGCTCTGTGATTGGTTCGTGTGTGACCCTGTGCGTCCACGCGTACCTACTGTGAGACCTCACAGTAATGTTTGTGAATATGGGCGTAAACGACTTAGGATCCGCACCGATTTGATCAGAAAATATGTCAAGTTTGAAGAAAGACGCGAAGAAATTACTACGAGATCTCACAGTGCGCGTGGATGCACAGGGTGACACATGAACCAATCACAGAGCTCTAATCAACGCTGTGAGTTCGATTTGCTGCTTCACATAAGCAAGCATCATTTGTGAATACGTGCGTAAATTTTCTTCAATGAAAATCTTTCTAAGAAGAGATAAACACCACGCATAATAATCATATGAATTACCCAAAAGAGATTTATCAAGTGAGCTGTTAACTATGGGAACAGAAATAGGCCAATTGTCGGAACGCACGGAAGCTTTTCCTCTTCCTGACAAGATTGGTATCTAATATGTAACGGATATTGTTGTTTGCTCAATTGAATTGAATACACACGAGTATGTAATACGTTCATACTACACACAAGTAACCTATTTTTTAGGTTTGTTAATAATATGTAATAAATAGTTTTGTAAGGCTAATAGGTCATAAGTTTCAAAAAATAACTTTTAGTCCATTAATTACGAGTACTATACATGATATTTTTATTTGTCAATCAAACAAGTACCTAATTAGGAAGTGATAGTGCGTTGAAGATCCGCGCGACGTCACAATGTGCTTCTTTTTAGCTTTGGCGCGCTTAGCTCTTTCAATTTTTATTACATAGTTGGAAAAAATGAAAAATGTTTACTGACGGACTAATTTAAGGTCTTGCTTTTTTACCCAAGAAATAACAATATTAGTTGCTTTATTAGTTACTTAAATAAATCTTTGCGGTTTGCTGTAAGGTCCCTTAAGCGAAGCTCTATTGGCATCGTGTATTGACACCATTTATCCGACACTCTTTGTGCTGGGTCTGTTTCTGACTGAAGAATCATTTCCAAAGCCATTTCTCAAAGGAAACTGGGCGATATTTCAACCCACCTCAAACGTTAATATCGCTACGCTATCTTCGCGTTTTGCCGCCTTTGTTTTAAGGCGGTTTATAGCTTCTAAGCTTTGTTGTATGTTTAACAATGGATCATTGCTGCCTTAAGCGATTTTGGAATTTTGATAAAGTAAATACGACTGTCTGACTGACCTTCATAATATTACTAAATTGAGGACAAATTGTTGGTGTTAATAATCTAGTTTGAGTCTGCCCAGAAAATAGTAGATCACAAAACAATTGAATAACAGCGGTAGAAACAGAGTGAAACAAGTTCTATTTTTATAACATGTAGAAAGTTGCGTGGTATATTTCGAGTTGTTACTGTAAGTCTGACTAAGTAATAATCGTATAGTACTTATTATTATTCTGTGGTAATACAGTAATATTTAAGGGAAATACGGTCCCATTTTCAGATAATTACATGAGTTTTGCGTAGTTACTAGTATTTACAAATTACCAGAATTTAGAACATTTTCGACTCAAGCTCAACTTTCTTCCAGATATCGGGATGATGTTCAAGAAGTACCCTCAGCCGGTGGCAGCCCCAGTCGGTGATGAAGTGGCTTTCGACTGCGTGGTGAACGTGCCCGGAGACAGGCTGGCATGGCGATGGAGGCCTGTGGATGACCCTCGGTGGAGGGATGCGAATGGCACCACGGACAAGACTTCTACCAGGCTGACTGTCAATGTTAAAGAGGATACACCTACCTCGTTGTACCAGGTCAGAGAAAATTCTTCTTCGCCGCTACACTCTTGAAAATTATGAGTGATGTCTTTTGATTAACTGAATATTCAACATTATTAAAGACTGAAAGCTTGTTAAGGAGCCACCGTGGGGAGATAAAGATTTCCCATTTGCAGAGGTGTCTTTTAGGAGTAGAATCCATAATCGGGTTATTTTTCAATCTACTGATTACATTAACAGTGCTGGCATAATTGACAGTAACGATAACAAATGTAACCCGAAATTACGTCAATGATATTGCTTTTCGATTGAGTGGTAAACGCTCATTGAGAGAGCTGTATGTTGCAATCGCTTTATATGACACGTCCCGAATCATTATCTGAATTATTTACGTTTATTTTGCTATCTATTTTAACGTACTAAACATATGGGACAACAGCACAAAATGTCGTGTTTGTTAACACAAAATGCTAAGATACTAGAATTAGAATTGGTCTATTAAGTAGATATCGAAATCTTTAGAGTAACTTTAAATCAGGACTATTCTCCCTCGTTCCCACCACTGCAACTCCTGTGGTGCCAGGATCTACAGCTTGACCGCCAAAAAAACCCAACAAGTGAAGGTCTTTAGGGTTAGGTAAAGATAGCAGAAAACCTACGTACAACTAACCTCGCCTTATTTTTCCAGTGTGTGGTCTGGTATGGCGGGATCAGCCTGGTCTCAGTTCCCGCGCGCCTGTCAGTAGCGCGAGTGGAGCTGGGCAGCGTTCGCCCTAACACCAGGGTCATCAGCTCTCCGCCACACAACACTGTTGTACTGCACTGTAAGGAGCCGGTGTCGGAGCCGCCTGCCGTCATCACGTGGTGGAAAGAGAACAAGGTAAGTTGGTGGGAAGAAACAGCCAAGCTTCTATCAGTAGCGCGAGTGGAACTGGGCAGCGTCCACCCCAACAAGAGGGTCATCAGCTCAGAACACAACACCGTCGTGCTGCACTGTAAAGAGCCGGTGTCTTAGCCGCCTGCTGTCATCACGTGGTGGAAAGAGAACAAGGTAAGTTGGTGGGAAGAAACAGCCAAGCTTCTATCAGTAGCGCGAGTGGAGCTGGGCAGCGTATGACCCAACACGAGGGTCATCAGCTCTCCCCCACATAACACTGTTGTACTGCACTGCAAGGAGCCAGTCTCGGAGCCACCTGCTGTCATCACGTGGTGGAAAGAGAACAAGGTAAGTTGGTGGGAAGAAACAGCCAAGCATCTATCAGTAGCGCGAGTGGAGCTGGGCAGCGTATGACCCAACACGAGGGTCATCAGCTCTCCTCCACACAACACCGTTGTGCTGCACTGTAAGGAGCCGGTGTCGGAGCCGCCTGTCGTCATCACCTGGTGGAAAGAAAATAAGGTAAGTTGGTGGAAAAAACAGCCAAGCTTCTATCAGTAGCGCGAGTGGAGCTGGGCAGCGTATGACCCAACAAGAGGGTCATCAGCTCAGAACACAACACCGTTGTACTGCACTGTAAGGAGCCGGTCATAACATGATAGAAAGAGAACAAGGCAAGTTTGGGAAAAAATTGGCAGCTAGTCTTATGAGGATCAGCTATTCGTCACTTACGTCATCTCTTTAACATTACACGTCTCCTAAACTATCTAGCTTCAAGGGATTGTAGACGTGATTATTGGAAAAAGGGACTCGATAGATGGACATCGAAAGGGTTCTAGTTATTTACCTTATCTTAGAAAAGAACTGTTAGATTTTAAAATGAATGACTATTTTAGTAGGCTAGATTAGGTTTCATAAATTATATCAATCAATCTTCGAATTGCTCACCCTGAAATCGGCAGTTCGATGTTGACAATGGACTTTGTCGCCTCTACGTGATATTGAATTTTTAATCTTTATTAAAATTACCTTGACATTGTGACAATGATATAGCAATATCACATGTATCATACCCCATCTTGAGAAATCACTTGCTGCTCGTCGCAGGGTTCAAAGAAGCCGCTGGAGACTCCTCACGGAGTGCTGGTGCTGCACAACGTTACGTCAGACGACAGCGGCATGTACGGCTGTTCAGCAACCAACGAGCCCTCTGGGAGGACCGTGGACTTGCCCGAGAAAGTCCACCTGAAGATCCAGCACGGGCATAGTGAAGTCAAGTTAGTTTAGCTTAATCTTTATGCTCAAAAAGTTTGGTTAACCTTTGCACATTTTTTACATGTAGTCAGCATCGTAGTTCGTGACACTAAAAGTAGCCAAAAACTTCGTAACACAATTACCTACTTACACTTACAATTGGAATAAGTTTGTGATATCAACTTTTTGGCCACTTTTTCTCAAATTATGAATATTGTATTACAAGAAAAGTCTATTGGAAAATCCACGATTTTGTAGACTTTTCATGCAGTTCCGAGTAAAATTTTGGCAATATTGGCGTCCGCCATTATAACGTCGAATTAATTCACTCTACGTTGTTAAATATTCCGTTTATTATTAGAATTGGTTATTGTTGGCAAAAATGATGGAAATAATAAATACCCATTTATTATTTTAAAAAGACTGCAAAAATGTATACATTACACGTTTCATTTTTATTCAGTGTTCAGTTTATTTCATCGTGGCATGCGCATGAAATACGCATTTTCACGTTCCATCTTGCAACTGAAATAAAATATTTGAAATTGTTGCTTTAAATTACTGCAGTAAGTTTTCAAAACCTATTTCAATTTTGTTCATGTAATAATTGTTACTTACTCCATAAAACTTTTTTCTTTCTATTCTTCATTTACATTGACGAAAATCCCAACAGGTTCCTCGAATCTGAAGAATACGTGGGTAACATAGACAACGACGGAGTCTTGACAGTGTCAGTACGACCGAGAGAAGTTCTACGGCTGTGGTGTGGGGCCGTGGGCTCGCCACCCCCACGCGTGGTGTGGAGCCGGGAGAGGAATGGCCAGATCCGCGGCAAACACGGCCACATGCTCGTCATTGATCCTTTCACTGCTGATGATGAGGTTAGTTCACTTCGTCATTGATCCTTTTATTGCTGAATACTTATAAGGTTGGTTCTGCAGTAATTTCTAGAGGTCAGGTCCTCGATCGTTTGACCAAAATCGAAAGAAGGATGAGCGGTTACTTTTTGGGAGCTTACTTGGCGACTTGTCGATTCCCACATAACATAGACCCTCACGACTAGCGGATGTGGATAATAGGATAGCTAAACGGAGGATAGTAGGTTCCTACGTTTCTAGGAAAAAAGATGTAAAAGTTTTAAAACCTGTGTGATTCAACTTCACAAAGCTATTTCGCTCTAGGTACCTATTAACCCTGTCTATTTCTTCCACTTGATTCAGCATTCCAGGCTCAGTGAGTGACATTTAGTTTGCAAGTTATGAAACTGAAACTTAAAGAAAAATAAAACCTTAAATAAAATTTCTTCTTAGGACGTCTATTCCTGCTCTGCCAACGAAGTCCGTCGTTCATGGAAAGTGATTGCCCTCCAAGCCCCATCCTGGGAGGGGTCAGCTCGGAACGTGAACGCCACGGAGGGAGGGGAGGCGCACATCGCTTGTGGGATCCCTCACGGACAACCACCACCAACCATTACCTGGGTCCTAAACTCTGAACCAGTGCAGAGCTCTAAGGGCAATAGGACTGCAGGTAAGTTTGTCGAATTCAATTGTTTTCATTACGTTAGCGTTATTTCTATGCTATTAGACGTCAGCAACGTTGAGAACAATTAGGTATACTCCTAATTGCTCTTATTAATGCGTATGGAGCTATCTTTAAGCGCAAAACCTAACCGGACCAGTCCAGACTCTTTCAAGTCAACCGATTTTTAATATCTAATTTATTGTAGGAGTCTCTTGACGCGGACTATAGGTTGAAGCTATAATATGAACAAGATATTGATTGACCAACTCAACTTGCTAACCAAAGTGGGATCCATCCCTTAGTTGGATGCAGTGAGTGGCAAAAATGGCTTTAGTAGTTATACTTAACTGTTGAATGTTTTTGTCTCTATAGATACAGAGCTGTTCATCCGACCTGTAGAGAAGCGACACGCTGGCGTGGTACAGTGCTTCGCTTGCAACTCGCTCGGCTGCGCTTACGAGGCCGCCATGCTGACCGTCGTGCCGAAGCAGATATCTGAGGACATGGTATGCTATTTACGTATTTATTACTATAGGTATAGAGCTGTCTATCGGGATCTGTGTATCATCTCAGAATAATATCAAATGACCGTAGGGTGGCTGCAGCGCTACATACGGGCAGGATTTCGTTTCATTTTTACCGTTACAGCTAATTTAAAAGATAAATCTGTTTAAGTAAGAAAGAAAGAAAGAAAGAAAATATATTTATTTGGTACTAAATGATACAAACCTGTAGTACCTACTTCAAAAGAAAATTAGGATTACTTTGCTCTGTAAAGCCCTGTAGACAGATGAATGCACTCAGAATCGGGTCAATTGTTAAAGTAGGTAACTATGACTCTGTGAAATGCATTCTCTAAAGTTGAATTACAGCTCAGAAGTACGAAACAAGTTTGCAACTTGTTTCGTACAGTTTGATTGGCGGTCGCCGGTTTGCTTGCTTGTGCTTATTTTAGACTAGCTTTCCGCCCGCGGCTTCGCCCGCGTGGAATTTTGTCTGTCACAGAAAAACTTTATCGCGCGCGTCCCTGTTTCAAAAACCGGGATAAAAACTATCCTATGTTCTTTCCCGGGACTCAAACTATCTCTATGCCAAATTTCATCAAAATCGGTTGCGAGGTTTAAGCGGGAAAGCGTAACAGACAGACAGACAGGCAGACAGACAGAGTTACTTTCGCATTTATAATATTAGTTGGGATTATACCATGTATTTTAAACATGAGGCAGTAGAGAGAAGTCGTCTGGGTTCCAAGTTCGCTTACCTGTAGGGTCAAGATAATAATAGTAATGAGAGTAAGTAACATGAGTTTCGACAATAAAGTTGTCTGGTACCATACCACTCACTGAAAGAATGTATATTGTAAAATTGCCATTTGGTACTCTAATCATATCTTAGAGTTTATATTATAAATATCCTTGGACATTTTACACTGCGCTTCTAGTCCCAAACTAAACAAAGCTTGTACTATGGGTACTGGACAACGGATATAAACATACTTATATACTTTTATTTGTGTAAATACATACATATTATACATAGAAAACACCCAGTCCAATACAATTTTATTGACTAGATAATTTGTTTATTGTTGATTTTTTGTTGCAGGATTATTCAGCTGAAGCTCCCAAAACTATGCACAGTGCGTTCCAAGCGCCGAAAAGACACAGAGGGAAAAATCCAAGAAAACACAAAGGTACGAAACGTTTTAAAATTGAAATGACTAGGTACTCGTTAATTTTAATTCCCTCAGTTCACTTTGAAACCTAGATTGAAACTTATCTCCAACTCAATTTACTAACCATTGAATTCGTAGCAACTAAAAATCTAAGTGGATTTCTGAGAAGTGAAGTTGTTCTAAATAAGTTATGCTTTGAATTATTGCATAATGGTGATCAACTACATATTGTTAAAAAATATTGTTTTTTATACAGTGGTGATGATGCCGCCGTCCAGGCCCAACGTCACCCGGTTGTCTGACACCAGCGTGATGGTGTCGTGGACGCAGCCTAACCATGGCTTGACTATACAGTTTTATAAGGTAAGCGCGAAGCATTATTAGAGCCAATATAATAAATACTTAGAAATATCTGTGGCGGCACACGAGCGGTGAGGCACCGCGCCGCGCGCTAAGCTCGATTCACACATCAGTGAAGTCACAGTTCAGGCTCAGTACAGGCACAGTGCGAAATATTCTTTCATACAGTTTCTATGAACGCATCCCCACTTGTCAGTGTCAGTGACGACACAGTGCTCTCAGTGTCAGTGCCGACACCGGCAATCACGGACGTATTCGTTGACGACGATATTTTTTGTCGGATCACGGACGCCGTCGCGGCATCAAAAATAAAATAACTTACTTTATAGTTTCTGAACAAGAATATTGAAACAGCTCAAAATATTTCACTGACGCAACTGATACTGAACTGAGCGGACACTGTGACGGAACTGTGGCTTCACTGATGTGTGAATCGAGCTTTACTGTGAAACCTTTCCGGTGCGGCGCCGCAACGCATCGTGTTCTTTGACTCTTAGTCTGCGCCAATGGCAGTCCAAAACTGGCAGTCTTGCAAACACAAACAGAGCCGAATAACGTTGTAATTTTTTGTTCAGGTCCAGTACAAAGAAGTGTCCAACATAAGTGACTCGTCGTGGCAGACGGGCAACTGGGACATACAACCGCATATACACGCATGTGAGGTGGACACCTTACACCCCAACATTTACTACAAGTGAGTGGCACACCTTAAAAGTTGTTTTGGAAAGGAAATTAAGATTAATACAGAGACGATGCCTCGATGCTCCTGAAGAAAATAACTGGTAGTAGAATACATGGTATAGTCCTTGGAAATTGCAAGTTTTGTAGTCGTATTTTATGATTATAATTAACTTTGTTCAAAGTAAGTCACAATTTTTTAGATCACATTACAGAGTACAGCTATTTCACAATTTAGAATGACACGTACACAGGTCTATTTATAATGTCGTGTCGTGTTATAATGTTCGGTGTTCCTTCACTGCTCACCCCTTTTGAGAGATATCGAACTCGAGTCGATGTCTCTCCGAAGGGATGCGCGATGCCACAACAAGGGCCCTCGCGGAAGACCAGTTTCTTGACATGCCCTTACGTGCATGTCATGATAAATCCTGAGCGTGAGCCTATTGACGCAATGGCACATTATTTTCTATATTCGTTTTGTGTTGTTATTGTTTATAATTTGTGCTTACTGTGATCAATAAAGTCTATTCTATTCTATTGTATTCTAAGCAAATCTTGTATTAAACCAGCTTAATATCATTCTCATGATATTCATTCCTCAATTTGTTTCACCTTAGGTTCCGTATAGCAGCCGTGTACTCCAACCAGGACAACAAACAAGGGCGGAGTTCCACACGATTCCTGTTACAGCGTGGTGTATCTCATATCCCACGCGCGCCGCAGCTCACGAGTGCAGAAGCTCTGTCACCACACACCATACAGCTTAATTGGACGGTAAGTGCCACCAGACTGACAACTGTGGCTAATACCGGTTCTGTGATAAACTGGGATTAACCGGTATATAGAAAAGTCCGGCACAGATTAGAGGCTGTCACAGATCAAAAGTGCTTTTCTTGTCAAAGGCTTAATTATAAGCCCTTCACTAAAGAAATGATTGGTTCCCCAAATACCCCCGAACCTCAAATTCTGTTGCACCACTCCCCCCCAAGTTTTATTTTGATGCCCTTCTCCAAGGTACAATATATCTATGTATATGTTACGGTCAAAGTGATAAATGTGAAAATTATGAATAATAGCCGGTTATTATGAATAATTACCGCATGATTTGGTATATGTGATTAATATGAGGTCATTTATGTGTGTATAAAACTAAATAGGCGGCTTAGGGGTGGCCCAAGGGCCACCCCCGCCGCACCTTAACCTATTTTTTCTCTTTAAATCAAAACATTATGTTATAGGCATCATGGAAAAGTAATATTATACAAGAAACATTCCAAACTCATTATGCCAAATTATATTAATATATGATATCAAAACGTTCAAAAGTTTGGCTGTACACGAGCACGTACACAAGATGTTGTTCTCTTTTATGAAATTTGTTAGTACTAAGGTTGAATTATTGAATAATCACTGTTAAATGTGATTAATTTATCACTTTTACCGCGACTGTCGGTAATTATTCATAATAACCGGTTATTATTAATAATTTTCAATTTATCACATTAACCGTAACATATACATACCAAAATTCACTAATGGTGCGTCCACACTGGGCGCACGGGTTCGCGCGGCACGCTGGTCATCCCGCTCACCCTGCTCTCGAGTGAGCAGGATGTCGAGTGAGCCGCGTGAGCCCGTGCGCCCCGTGTGGACGTATCATAGGATTGGCATAGAGTTATTGGTGACTGATACTTGGCAGAGGTCAGGTCAATAATCAAGTGCGTTTTTGATACGATACTGGCTATTGTTACAGTGGTCGATCGGCGACAACATGCAAGTCCAAGCCGAGGGCTTCTACATATACTACCGGGCGCTGGCTTCGGCGGGAATCTACGACAAGGTGGCCATCTCTGGAGGCGGGGCCAGGAGTTACGTGCTGTCTCATCTGACGCCTGACACGGCCTATGAGGCCAAAGTCCGATCCTACACCACCCAGGCTGCGTCCGAGTTCAGCAGGATTGTGGTAAGTTTTTTTCATTTATTGGGGTCAACAAACAGTTACACAACGGATGCTAATGAAAATGATGGAGACTTGTAAAAATAAAAGATTCTACATAATGTATTTAACATGTATTCGTACTTAGTTGACTTTTGGCAGGAAAAGGATTAGACATCATCAATATCTAATACTAATCGATTTAAAGATATTTCATTTAGCTAAGTTCCTCTTACGAAGTGGTGTTTAAAGTATCGCGACGAGATGGGTCACGAGCACGACGTCACTTTATGCCATTCCATGCTAAAAGACCATCGTAGACCACGATGCTGTTTTATTCTTAGCACTTATTGAAATGTTACTTACGTAGGAATTTACTGTCCTTTATTCTGGTTCAAGCCTCCAATCCGGCCAATATTTGGCTGAAACTAAAACCGTTATTAACTTTACATTAGAGTCTAATTCATTTCAATCTTTCCCACAGGAGGCTAAAACACACAGGTCGACGAACGCCCCGACCACTACCACGGAAGCCCCGGTGGAAGACATGAAGGGTTCCGCGCGGGCGCCAGATCCTTTGGTCACGGCAGGTGGAGCCCTAGGAGCGGTGGCGCTGCTCGTCATATTAGCGGTGACGCTACTACTCTGTAGAAGGGCGAAGAGGCCTCCTGCTGACAGTAAGTACGAGACCAGTGATTTCCAAAGTTTTCTGGGCTACGACTCATCTAATACAAGTTCCCAAACTCGGGATCCACCTCCAATAAAGGAATCAGATCTGTAGGATGGTGTGTCGTTTTACAGGTAAGGCCCACTCAATGTTCGCTCGCGACCCCACCACTGGGTCGCGACCCATAGTTTGGGAAACCCAGTACCTACTAGGCTGTAAAAACCGCGAGTTTGTGAGCAATTGTTTCAATTGATTTTGATCTCACTTAGGAGCGTAGAGTTTAAAATCCATTTGGTTTTGTTATTTTTCTTAACTCATTGTCACACATTATCATGCTACGGTTAAGACCTCCAATTATAAAAGCTTTCACGCAGTATTATTGTAGGGTGTGTGACGTAACATCAATGGCCCTTCACACAATATCGTTACTTATTAAAACAGGATTTGTAATTTTCAGAAGAGAAAGGATCCGTGCCCGAGACCGGGGGCGCTAACGGCTACATTCAAGCCAAGGTGCCCATCACCATTACTGCCAATCCTATGCACGCTGAGGTAATACGTATTCAATTTTCAGTTTTATTCACCCAATTATAAATCATAAATTGGAGTTTTCACTCACTCGACTCAACTCTGAAGTGGACACTAGTCTGTGCAAATATCTCGTGAAATGCCAGCGACTAATTTACCTTTTCCCAACGTAGGGTGGCGATGGAGGCGTGGAGATGTCATTCCTCCACAATAATAACTGCGGAAACAATGGCAGCAACGACGACACACTACCCCACTCCAGGAAAAATGGCCCCACCAATCGACAGTACGTGTAATCATCCAGTATTGCCAGAGAGCGTACTTCGGTACATTGCTATGTGGAAAAATTCAAAATGTGATATTAAATGAGAGCCATATTCGAGGTGTTTACGGACTTGTAACAGTACAAAATATTATTTATATATTTACTTAGTAAAGTAAGTTTGAACATGTAGAACAGGGTTGCGCTATAAAATAAGTGTTGCAGGTTACACGGAATGTTACTTAACTGTTTCTTTTGAAGGTTAAGGCCCATATTCTTGCTTCGTTTTATTAAAGTTTGCAAGGCGTAGGATCCTTAAGGATATCTTAACACTTGACAAGAAGTTTGTTCAAGAGGACAATTAACGTGAAGCGCTTCAGTGTTGTAATTTCAACATTCCTACTCTAAACATTTTGAGAACCACGAGGGAGGCGGAATTCCTTTTTTTATTGTAGGGTTGACGGCACACCAGACTATAATAATATATTATGTTATAAAATAGCACCTAGCACAACTAGGTAAAGCGCCACATAATTATTGGTTTGATGTGCCTTCCATACTTACATGTACTGAAGAAAAAGGGTGTTAGAAGGGTTTGCCTATGTAAATTAGCTGGACTAATGCCGCTCGCATATAAAAATATCAAACTTAACACAGCATAGCTTAGCTTTTGCTATAGCTCGCTCTTAAGCTTTGTCCATAGTAGTGGCCAAAATAAGTGTTTCCAAGCATGACTCTCTAAAAAAAGAACCCGTCATGCCTTGTCATACCACTCATAAGTTTATTTTCCGCCCTTGTTCCCGAGTAATTACTCTATTTTGTGGACAGCCCTGAAGTGGACTGACGACTAGTGCTAAGACTAATTATTTATTAATATTTACGACGCTAGATGGCGTTAATTAACAGCTTCAAACTTCTCCATCGCGCGATCTTTCATTTAGCTAATGAATCTCATTGAATCTAACATTACGATAGCGGTATAATTCTACTACTTGCGGTATATGGCAATGTACTTAATATGATTTTTGTTATTAATTTTTGTTAGACGTTATTTAGTTATTATTTCAGTGGAAGTGTGAAAATTTTATTTGTTTATTCATTTATGCATTTTTATTTTGACTGCTTTCTGACTTTTCCTAAGGTTGTGATGGACCCAGGCATTTAAATGTAATAATGACATTAACTTTAGTTAAATAAACATACCTACCTGATAGGTAACGACTGCTTATTTTACTAATTTGTTATCTAGCAGGTATTTAAGTGTATCTGTTGGTAATATAAAATAATTAATTTAAAACGTAGCATGTACGACAATGTGAATACTACGAAATGTTTAGTATTATATTTTATCACAAGTAACCTAGCTCGTAAGCACGCTATACATTATTTACATAAATAAGCACATAAATAAAACCGAAAACTTAAATGTATGACAATGTCACTGAAACAAATATTTAAGCTAATAAGTATAGCAATCGTAAGAGATAGACATCATACCCATCTGTATTTATTTGCTCATTTTTTATTAAACTGACGATATTAAAGTGTATCTAGATAATATTTGAGCTGAAGATAATGTAAGATCTTAATCTATTGCCACTGAATGTATAGTTTCTAATAGATCACTTAATTGGCTTAAGCGAAGGCTGTAGGCCGTACGTAATTTCATTACAGACGCTAATTACTTAGTATTTGTATCCCTAATCTGTGTTGAAGTAGGTCCTCGAATTAATTATGTTAATAGCTGTATTGTTTAGTTTAAGAGACACTCCTTAGTAGCACATATTTAATAGAGTTGTAATTTTATTGTTCCACCAGCAAAAATATAGTTGACGGGGCGTCTTACTACATTATAAAATAAATTGTAAATATTCAATAAAAACTACCTACTTGGCGCGAATTTACGTGGAATATTATCCTCCATACCATCAAATATAAACATTGTGCCATCATAACGATGTATACTATCGTAATAGCATTTTATTATAAATCAAATAAGTAACTTATGGTTTAAAATGGCGACGTACTACACTCTCATTTATTAGAGACGAAAAAACGTTTTAGAGATTTGAGAAGTTGATTTTTGTTCGTAATAAATTCTAACCAGTTTTAGAGATATTAATATAATCACTCTATTGGATATGTGCTCGATGGATATCCATTACTGAAATTACAGTTAACCTTAAACGTGCAACCAGCTATTGACTGACTATTTTCCATGCAAATTGAGTCTGAATTGATCAATACCACTTGACGCCCACTGTGTATTGTCCGAAGTAGCGGACATTACCAGTATTCCCCGGTACTGCACTGCGGACTCTGCCCGTGCCCGTGTTATGCATCAGAAAACAATCGCAAACGCTTCATCACTGTAGTATGCGAATGTTTTAATTAAAAGTCTGTAACAAACGGCGCGTACACAAGTTTTGATATAAAGCAAAGTTAGTAGCTAAAAATACAGGGCAAAGCAAACTGTACGGAGCATGAAAAGTGTGCGAATGAAAGTTAATAATGGCCGATATATTATTGTCGAACACTACACAAAAACATTAGTGAAATTCTTCAAGTAAAATCTGCGAATTCTGTAGATATTATAGAGAAACGATTTTTCTTGCGATGTAGAAAATTGGGGAAAACTACGTGCCATTTTGTCCGTTTCCAAATGTGCCCGACACACAACTTTTCTAGCTCTACAGTTTCGTCACCCTGTATAAATGTATAAATACCTATCAATGCACTCGCGAATAAGACTGAACAATGTGAAAAGTCATTTAGAACAACGAGTTTAAATTTAATTTGATTTTTTATTGTAACATCGCTTGTTTCTATTAAATAACGCAACTTAAAAATAAAAGTGGATTTGTTAATAGAGTTTTTTGTTTTATTTCTTACTTTTGTTTTGTTGATAACTAACATTTTATAAAACGTTATTTCTTTTTGGGTTCGTAGCAAAAAAAAAGAACTATTTGCTTTTATTGTGTCTGGCTATCCTTTTTTTATTTTTTTCAGCAGCAAAGATTGCAGATTGAACAGTCTAGTTTCCCGCGCAAAACGTTCTGTCAGTTCGATCATAAACAATGATCAAAACGTTTTAAAAAATCCAACTAGCCAGTGACATTGCCGCAGGCAACATAGAGCCGCAAAATAAAAATAAAAAAATGCGGCAAGCAAAAATATCTCGGGTCACATTGAATCAATAATTTCAAAGAGTTAGCTAATTCACGTATCTACTTTTGTTTTAACGAAGAAAGGCATAATTAGGACATTAGGATATAGTCAGCTCGCGCTCAGCAAATGAAACTTCCAGCAAAGGCGCTCGCTAAACTGACTTCCATTTACATTCGCCAGTTTGGATTACGCAATCTTGAAATAATGAAATTATCTTCTCACTAATTGTGATGGAATTGTCGCTTATTTGAGAGTCTTTGTCTTGGAGATGTGTCGTATTATAATTTAGAAAGAAACGTGATGTTTTTGAATGTTGTTTTGAAATTTTGTTTTGACTTGTGCTTGGGTTCTCTCTAGTTAAAAGTTCTTAGCTCGGTTCCCAGAGACGTATGGTGTAACCTAAATCTGTATGTTTTGCTCTTATTTCAGTTAGGACATTGAAGGTTGGAGTCCTAAAAGAAATATGATTACTTGCATTACAGATTGAAGAAATAATTACATTAAAAGCTTCAAAGGGCTTTTAGTCCTATTGAGTCATATCAAATGCTATGACTATGTCGGCTCATAAAATCTGTCGCTAGATACGAAATTAAATTAATGAAAGATATGAAAGAAGAAGACGGTGAAACTAAATGTTGATATTTATATTAATTAGAGATAATTCAATTCAGCTGTATCATCTCCTAAATTCAGTTTGAAACAGTTGCTATCAGAAATTCGAATACGGATTAGATTTAAAAAAACTTCGTCTATGTTGGGTTCACTTTAATCAATGTATTGACCATAATTAATGGATTATTTATTTGTACGAGTAACTGCCTGAATTGTAAGACCTAATTTGTATTTGTAATTCAGTATTTCATATGTATAGTACATCATGTAGACACGATACCTCACTCTACCATTATGTATCATATCATGTAACAGATGTTATAACTTTAATTCGCTGGATTTAAAGCTTTTGCGAGCTTTTTATCCTTGCGTGAGGATTAAAAACTGGACGTGTTATTGAAAATTTGAACGAGCGAATTTCATGAACGACAGATTTAATTTCTGTATTGAAAGCACGTTTAAATTTTAATATGTTTGCTCGCGATCGACTACGGTAAGTCCATCCGAGTCCGGTTGCGGCAGTATTTACTGGTTCGCATTTTCTGTATGAAAATAATTATCGGCAAGTACAGTCAGTGGTGGAAATGTGTACAATTTGTCATCAACATTCAACAATTCAACATCAAATCTACTTTAGGTAGGTAGTTAATTTGTAATGATTGTGTCGTTTTAACTTTATAAAAGTACTATTTAAAAGCCTACTCATAGAAAATAGGTGTATAATTTTGTGAATTTTATTTACAGCTTTCAATCCACCACTTCAGACCATCATAATAATTGATAGGTTGATAAATATTTAGGAAAATTATACACGATCTATTTTGCATAAAATTAATTACGCTGATGTCGTTATGCCAAAGTATTTAGCACTAAAACATTATGCCAATGGAAGGAATCCAATACAAAATATGGAGCATTCCACGCGAAGCGGACAGGTAAAAAAAGTCGATGTTTCCGATTTCAGTAATATTTGAGTATGTTCTACCTATACATATTATTGATACGTGTACCAAATATTTTTGTAATATAATGACTAGTTTAAGAGTTATGGGTCTTCGAAGTTTTCGACAACCGGTTGGCATGCAGTACTTCAAAGCCGATTATGGAGTCATAAAATTATATATTAAAATAATTAAACCACGGGATTTATTACTTCATTTACCGTGCTTTTTAACTGTATTTTTGGAAACGAAAAAAAAATTATTTTTTCCTAAAAAAAAAGCAAACTAATTTTTTTTCCTTGATTTTCACAAAGTTCGACCCTTTCGATTTTTTTAATTTTTTTTATTTAAATAGCTAATATTGTGTAGAACATTCATGCCAACTTTCAAAGTGGGCGTGGAAGTGGATTCGGAGCTAGACTGAAAATACTGCCGAAGGGTGGCGTCCAGCGCCGCGCCGTCGCGCTGCCGCGCCTGAAGCCCGCCGCCTGTGCGCGTTTAGTGAAACTGACAAGCAAATAAAATCACTTTTGACGGAATGTTTTTTAGATTTTTAATAACACCAATACATTTTTAGTACCTATTAAATACTAAAAAATACGTTATGGCCAGGCTTGTTCTTACTCGGACACTGAAAGGATCGCTCCGAACTCCGAAAATCGGTCAAATGAACTAGTTCGGTCTTCTAGTACTATTAACTAGCACATTTTAGTACACTGATTCTATTAGGTAGATCGAACGAAAAAAGTCTTTATTCATATGCATTTATGGTCCAATATCGAAAAATACTCGCTACACACTCACAGAGCCGAATCCATCTCGCTCGCGCGCGGTTGTCACCAATTTCACGTCTCGTTCACACCTATTCATTAGTGATCGGCTGTACTAAAGTGAACTAAAAGACCGATTTGAACGACCAAGACGGAATAGTTCGTTCTCGTTCACTTAATTAAAGGAATTGCTTCCTATTAGTACATAGTACATGTACTACACAAGCCTAGTTATGGCGTATCCGCACATGCCGGGCGGCACGGCCGGTTCGGTTCGGTTCTGGGTATTAGTCCTGACCTAAATTAACTGGTGGATCTATTAATCCGGTCCACAATATCTTCTAATTACCAATAATTTACGACCTTTCAAAAGACTAGATAGAATGAAAGGTCTAGTATTCATTATATCTAAAAATTATTATGAGCCACTTAATTTCATAGGAATAGGATGAAAGCACTGACGACCGTCTGCCTCCCACATAATCGCCTTTTGTAACTCGAAAGGTATAAAAATAACAGCTCATTCTATTTTTGTTAGGAAATATTCACAGTTACGAGTAATGTAATTTATTTTTCACGATACGGAAAAACGCAACTTTATTTACTACTACTACTTTATTTTATAACGTATTTTAGTATTTAATAGGTATTAAAAATGTCTTGGTGTTATTAAAAATCTACAAAACATTCCGTCAAAAGTGATTTTATTTGCTTGTCAGTTTAACTAAACGCGCACAGGCGGCGGGCTTCAGGCGCGGCAGCGCGACGGTGCGGCGCTGGACGCCACCCTTCGGCAGTATTTTAAGTCTAGCTCCGAATCCACTTCCACGCCCACTTTGAAAGTTGGCATGAATGTTCTACACAATATTAGCTATTTAAATAAAAAAAAATAAAAAAATCGAAAGGGTCGAACTTTGTGAAAATCAAGGAAAAAAAATTAATTTGCATTTTTTTTAGGAAAAAATATTTTTTTTTTCGTTTCCAAAAATACAGTTAAAAAGCACGGTAAATGAAGTAATAAATCCCGTGGTTTAATTATTTTAATATATAATTTTATGACTCCATAATCGGCTTTGAAGTACTGCATGCCAACCGGTTGTCGAAAACTTCGAAGACCCATAACTCTTAAACTAGTCATTAT